GTTTTACTCTTATATTCAGACTTATTCTCATTAGTTGTCCACAAATACGTTATTATGTGTTTCGGTATAAATTGGATTCAATGAGTGAACCCAATGGACACAAATCATACAAACCACTCATTTCTGGATTACAATTAGACGATTGGTTTATAATGTATTTGGTATAAGAATTTTATTTGATTTGAAGTTTTTTTAATTAATTGAATGTTATTTTACTTCTAAAAAGTTGTGCCAAAACGTTGAGCCAATAGTTTTCAAAGAAATAATTGATTTATTGATTGAAAGACAAGGAATGAACCGAAACTTAACCCAAGATTTGCGTACAAATGATGAAAGTATTGTTAATAACGTTAATAATGGTATTCGTAATGGTATTGGCGTTCGTGACACTAATGACATTGATATCTAAATCCATTAATCGACCCGTCATTACATTTATTACAACTGAAGTGCAATTAATTAATCAAAGTGTCTATCATTTAAAAATTATAACCCGATAATAATCTATTCATTATTCTTACTGTGAATGTGAATCACTTTTCCTTTGCTCTATAACTCAATATAAAACTAATTATATTAATTTGTATTTCAATTATTTGCTTTTCAAATAAAATCAAAATTAATCACTCAATGAGTGTTCAATTAATATTAAAGTTAACAAAAAAGTTGTTAAAAGTTTGAATCATAAACTTTTTAAACGGGTCTTCAATTTGTTAAGAAAAAAGTGACAAAATTTATGGATTGATTAATACATCACATGTTTTGCAAAAATACAAACTTTTTTATGCCATTAAATTTGTTTTCATCTTTTAATTGACTTAAATTTGACACAAATTTAGTGAATAATCTGTGAATTAAACTGAATGTGAGTTTCATTACAAGTATTGATTAAGCGATGAATGAATTGAGGGATGAATTGATTGATAGGAAACGTTTAGCCGACGACCAGAAGGAGATTGTAATTGGGATCTGTTATCAGCGATTCCTATGTTTTGACCACTTTTTGGATTTGCTTTTTAGGGAAACAAACACTTCAAGAGTGGACACATTGAGGAGTCCATCAAATGCTATACAAATGCCATCCAATTGTATGAATCAAATCCAGTCTTTTACTGCAATCGATCCATGGCTTACCTCAAGAAAGGACTGTAAGATCTTATATCGATATTTGTAAAACTTAATTATAATTCATTTGTTTAAATATCTGATCCCATGTTTAACAGTCCGCTCGAAGCCCACAGAGACTGTGATTTAGCCCTAAATATAGACAACAATTGTATTAAAGCTCTTTACAGACGCGGCTTATCTCGAAGACAACTGTTTCGCTATTCTCTGGCTTTGGATGACTTTCGACGAGTCCTTACACTCGATGCCGACAATAGCGATGCGAAGCGTGAATTGGCCGCAACTCAACGTCTGATCCAATCGAAAGCCATTGTAGACATTAAAGCCATTGATAAACCACTAGAATTGCAATCAAAGACACCGTTAACTAAAGTTGCCATTTGTTGTGATAAGAAGTCGTGTGAATTTGTGGTACAATTGCCCGAAAGTGTTCCCAAAACTTATTATCAATTTGAGTGCGATTGGCGTCAACTCATTGGTCCCAATAGTCAACAATTAAGACTCAATTATTTGGAAATGATTGGCGCCGAAGACATTCAACGAGTCTTGTCGTCGACATTAGAGCCGCAAATGATATCTGATTTATTGAATACGATTTGTCACTCAAATGATTGTCAATTAATTTACAATGTTTTGCATCAAATGTCCGAAACGCCCAGATTTGACACAAATGTCTTCTTATTGTCAAAATTAGATCATATAAGTAAAACACTTTTGTTTCTCATTTTTAGTACATTTTAAATATTTTATTAATTTTTTAATTTCTTTTTATTATAGATTTGAATAAAATTATTGAAAACCTGAAACTCAATCATTTCAATGAGAATCTGATTTCGGAAATTAAGAATAATTTCTTGTGATTCACTTTGGATTTGAATTTCATTGCAATCAACGCTTCAATTATAGCAATACTTATCATTCATTTCCATATGTTTCACATATTTTGTGGCCAAATATGTGTTAAATTAATTATAAATAGGCATTAATTTTAATTTAGATTTTTAATAATAAACAACTTTTGCTAAAATACTTTCATAATAAAAAATTATTTATGATTATTTAAGGAATTTTTAAGACTCAAAACACAATCACTAAAATCTGTTAATACAGTCATTGATCGATATTATGACCAAAACTATTGCATGGAATTTGGTTCATGCAGTCGTATAGTTGAGTGTTTTGGTAATTTTATAAAGGTTATCTTCTCTACTTTAAAATATGTTGTATCAATATTTACGTTATGTTATTGGTATTTATGCATATGATTACCTATTCTATAACTCCCCCGAAACTACTTTTAGGCCCTAGCCCTCATAATGTACTTTAATACACATATTAATATTATAAAGGGCATAACTAATTAAAGTGAGGGCTAGGGCCTAAAAGTAGTTTCGGGGGAGTTATAGGATAGGTACATATGATTAATGATAATATACCGTTACATGTAGTTGAATAAATTCACCAAGTGTTGTATGATTCAAAAGTTAATAACATACAATATTAGTATTTCATTACAAATGGCAATAAATGTTGCAATCTATTTTCTTATTTACATCTAATTCTAATTAAAAGTGATATTTATTAAACTGTTTATAAATTACTAGTTTATAAAATAGTGGTATTCAACAAAATGATGGTAACATTTGTTATTCATGGGTTTTACTGTTGGCACAATATTTACAGTTGTATTGACTGGAAATTGTAGACAACAAATAAACCTGAAATGTAACAAATATCGTGAAGAGTTAGTCGAAATTGTATTGAAAACAACATTTATAATAAAAAACACATTTTATTCAATCAAATAAAAGAGTAATAAATATATATAATATAATAATTGATTTAATTAGACGATAATATAAGAACAATATTTATATATTTTTA